CGGGTGGAGAGAAGAAATACGGATAAAGAGACAGTCGGGTGGATATAGTTGATCGGGCTACACTCTAGACATATGCTTTATATCTATAGTTCTATCTTTGCTGAATATATTGGGTTGATTTGTGTTCTTGTTCTGTACATTTTGGAGGATTTTTAAAATGTCCAATTTCATGCCCTGAGCTGAACATGCCGATTCACCGAATTTAGCGCCTTTCTATGCGCTTCTCACGATTTTTAGCTGTTTAGCTCAAAAACAAATTCTAGTTTTTCTTCGGTTATACACACCAATGCAGTTTGTGTTTGTGTGAGTGTGCGAGTGTTTGTGACTGTGTGAGTTTTTTTTTCGTTTTTGTACAATAGTCGTTGATCTTCTTCTCCGCAATATATCCCCAGAAGAATCTTCAGTTTGATACAAGTGCCCCGCCCAAAAGAGGATCTCTTTCAAATTGAAGGCGATACTTACGAAGCCGGCGGACTGGGAAGGGCCACCCGATGGATATTCCACGTGGCCACCGATACGGAATGCTCGTCGGCCGCATAGCAACGCCACACGGCCTGGATGAGAGTGGCCGCCGGCTGGCGCCTCCGGATCATGTGCTTCTGCCGCTGCTGCTGCTGCACCTTTAGGGCGAATCCGCTGCCCAAGATGCCCTAGAAGATCAGACGTTTAATTACTTGTATGATGGTAACAGGAATAATTGACTTATTAATATATGTAAGTCTACTCTTTGAAATATCAAACACAGCTGCGCCTAAAAAAAAGTCTTAAGATTTCATATAAGTATCTAAAATAAATATAGAAAATGCAACATAGTTTAATGATAAAAAAACTAAAGGATGTCCCTATACAACGTCATCAAAGTTATTGGCGACACCTAATCCTCTTTTCCCAATAATTAATTCGTAATACAATAAAATGCGAAAAGTCAAAAGAAATAATAATTTAGCTGATTACCCTGCCCTTCGATTACGTAATATGGACGGCACCTAAAGAGTAATACTGATAATGTTGGGATTTATTACTATTGACAAAAAGAAGTGCTGATAGGCATTATCATTACTATGGTTACTATCAATATAACTAAAGTTAAGTTAAAAGACTTACCGCAGGAAGGGCGAAGAAGGAGATTCCGAGAAGAGCACAACAGGAGGCAATTAGCTTGCCCTGCCATGTGATCGGCACCATATCTCCGTAGCCCACTGTGCAGAGTGTGATCTAAAATCGGGAATAGAGACAATACGTGGAAGATATACTAGAGACTCTGGTACTCACCACACCCCACCAGAGTGCCTGGGCGAAGTTGCTGAACTTGTCATTGACGTCCTTCTCCCACATGTAGACCAGGAATGATGCAAAGATTAGACCTAAGAATCCTATGTACATTGTTGTGATCAGCTCCTGTGCATTAAGAAATACAAGGGGAATATATTTTATGAGATCTTAAAGTATCAATTTGTATACCGCATGTCAAGATAAAACATTTATTTTAGCCAGATATACATATGTGTGTATGAATAGCTCATCTCAGTTACACAAATTATGTGGTTTTTTAATTTAAAGATAAAGCAATGAATACTTAAAAGTAACTATGTGTAATTATTTATTCGTTGTTTTGTTTTCTGAAACACGCTTTAACCTCAATTCAAATGTTTTCGTTACAAATAAATTATTTTAGAAAAGAAATGACTTTCAGGGATTGACATAAATGGCGCGTATTACATTTTTAAAATCGAATCAATATTTAATGCCATTAGAATGTTGGATCGATCACTCACCTGTCTATGTGCGTATACAACCGAACCGAGCAACTTCCAGGTGCCACCCCGCCGATCCATGCGCACCATCCGAAGTATCTGAAAGAACCGGAGGCCACGCAGGGCACTCGTGGCGAACACCTGGCCAGAGGTGCCCATCCCTAATACTACAATTGAGGCTAAAATGGTGACAATATCTGGAATATGGGAGTCCCTGTTTAGTTCCTTTTCATCCTGGTAAATCGTGCAGTTAGCCTACCTATAATACAGAATGGTCGCTTCACGAACTTCATCCGACCCAGACAGCCCTGGTATCGCGATCGGCAGCCCGACGACCATAATCGAGCGCCAAACTCCATCGTGAACCAGATGACCACCAGGATCTCCATGCGGAACAGGATGTAGACGGCGTCCTCCTCGTACTCCTTGATGGTGGAAAACACACTGAGTGCCAGGCAGGTGAACACCATCAGGAACCTTGAGGAACAATTAAAAATCATGTTGTGTTACTGAAATTATGTATATGTTATTATATAACATTGTATCCAATATACTTCTAATTTCAAAGACGTTGAGTCAAATATTATAGAAAACTCAAAAATACAATTATTTATTTATGCGATTGTCTTTCTTTTTGGGTGTTTTTTCAAAAAATGAGACAGATTTATTTTAAATCTAAACCGACCCTTGGCCTCCAGTTTGCTTAACTTTAAATTTGAAAATGATATATTTAAATTTAATATTAATATCAAAATATATAATTCAAAAACTACTTTTTCCGATGAAGTTTTTTTTCTGTTTTTTTTAGGAATTAAACTTTTGTATACATTGATTAGATATTTTATAATAAAATTATTACTAGAGTGAGTTCCGGATGCCTTATAAATAAATATATTTTTGGGATTACTGGGTACTTACACCATCACATGGTAGAAGATGGCATGCAGGCCGCGCGGCCGCTCCAGGAAGTTGTAGAGGCGACTCTGAAGACGCCGGTAGCGAACATCGCGGCGAGTGCCGCGGTTGTAGTTCAGCGGCTTTCCTAGGAGTGACATTCGAGGCTGCAGGATTCGTTCCGAGTTCGGCCTGCCCGGTCTACATTTCCTGTAATCCACAAAAAAACTCCTTAGTATTTATTTTTATAATTTTAAGATTCACTTTAGCTGGTAACTCATAGTTTTTGTGTACCCCTTGTAACCCTTTATGTCGTAGAAGGCATAAATATCGTTATCCGGATCCATTCTGATCTCATTCCACCCCAGTGAATTCTCGGAAAATCTCGGCAAATATTTTTGACACTTTGGACACGTCTGGCTCCGACGGCGGTTCAATCGCAACTCGATCGACGGCTGAGCGTCGGCCGGTTAAAAAACCTTCCTTAACAACTAGACTTTCAAAACCCCATGTGTAAATTTTATTAATTATCTACATAAACAGTTTTTTCGTTCCACACACCTTGCAATTTTACGACACCCCAAGTCTGCATAGACCTCTATTTGATTTTGTTTTAATATATACCCTATATACCCAAGTATATTGCACCTCGTCATCAACAAAGTGCCATAAAATTTCGCGTATTTTAGCGACGTTTTCGTTTTGGTTCTCCTTCGCCGTTGTGGGCGGGTCAGGTTCGCTTTAGTCACGATCTCTCGACTTTGTCTTTGCCCAACGTGCTGCCAGCGGATCGTACGTCATTAACATCAGGCACTTGCCATGCCCCACAAACAACCCAAATATGGGTGAGTTTTGGCAATTCGTTTGGGGCGTGCTGGAAAATTACCAGCCGCTGATGGGAGAGTTCTATTGATATCTTGAATTCCAGGAGGTTTCACTTGTGGCATTTGAAATAATACGGAGACAAACGACGGGTCGCTGGACTGGATAATTGTCTCCTCCCAGGATTTCTATGTCTAATAGGTAAATTTATTCAACAATAACTTTATTTATTTAAAATAAATTCGTATATTGCAAAATATTTTTAATGCTTTTAAAGCTTCAAAAAGCCTTTTTTAAATTATTTTCTTTTGTAATTTGTTTGAGGGTTTTTTATTTTTATAAAGATTAATGTTTATTGTTAAAAAAAGAACTAATTTTTTCTAAATGTAAATTATTTAAAAAATTTTTTAAACATTAAATTATTTAATTTTGTAATGTGGTATCGAAAATGTTAACCACTAAAAACTACAACATGTTTGTAAAAGTTATAAAAAAAATAAAAATAAATTTAGGAATATTTTTATTTTTAGCACCCTTGAAAAATAAAAACATATCAAGCTAATTTAAATTTTCTATTACTTTTAGGATTCTTATTTTTTCAGTTGTTTATCTTCTTAAAATAACAAAGAGCTTTAAATAAAGAAATCCAATCGAAATTGTTATGCTATATGGATTAAACGTGATATATGTATCTTAACATAACGAATCATCAAACAAAGAACGAGTTGTATTGGCTCATCTTTGATTTACATTATATATTAATGTAAATTAGATATGAATCAGCTAAAAACACAACAATGGATGTTACTCGCATCAATAAGCCTAATTTCACTGACCATATCGCGTAGTTTCCCCACCAAATGAAGTACATAGACAAATGTAAACAAGAACGTAGGAAAAATAGTAATATTTATATTCATAAACAACTGTCTTTACCTTTTTGTGGAATTAGGAAAACTTTGTAACTAATATAAAAACAATTTTTAAATGATTAATACGGTTTTAATTTAAATTTAGGAAACATTTTGTTTCTGCTATCATAACAGGAGAAAGATAGGGCCAATGTTTATAAAGTTTAATTGGCTTAACAAATTTATATTTGTTACTAAATACCTGAATTATCGAGAAAAGGGGTTATATTTTTTATGTTTCAGCTAATACTTAGATTTTATTTTCATACATCTTACTTATCCCCACTAATAATTTCTTGAACGGAAATATGTCCATAGCTCAAAATGTGCTAACTGGACATATAACCATCATAAATAGTTATTATTCTGCTAATTGTATGTGGGAAGCGGGAGAGCCAGTTCTCAGGCAACTTTTCAAAGCTCCCCTCGAGCGAGATTACTGCAGTGCTGAAGTCAGTTATCGACATAGTGATCGCGAAAGCTCTTCACTATCCACGATCCATGAAAATGTGCCTGTGTTGGGTTGTTTTGATTCCGCTTCACTTCATGAGTCATATCTTATCTTCCAGCGATCCCCAACGGAAAGTGCTGCCCATCACCATAAAACGACGAGTGTCGGTTAATTTTAAAATTGTTTAATGCATTCTTGCTTTTTTTGTTTTGTGTGTTGTATTTTTGTATGTGTGGCTTAGGTTAGGCAGTAATTAAAATATACGATGTGGGTGCGCAATGCTCGCTTGGCCGTTTTACAGAACGTATTTACACAGGGGCTCGCTGGGGAGAACAGAACAGCGTTAACAGTAGCAGTAAAGTACGATAGGTATAAATGATTCGTGCACAAGATCACAAGTTGTAGCACCAGGCGGGGGACGAAGCGCGGTTCGGGGTTCGGGTTCCTCTCCAGAAACCTGGTGACCCCATCTCACTTCTTGGCATCGATGATGATCTCGTCGCCCGACTGTATGTTGTAGCTGTACAGCTGTTTGTTGGGGAACCGCATCTCCTCGGGCCCGAACTCCTTGTAGTCCTGGTCCAGATAGTACAGGCGCATCTTGTTGGGCGACAAGCCCACCAGCTTCTCCAGCTTGGCCTTCAGATCGTTGACGGTCAGGTAGATGTCCACGAACCGGCTCTCGCTCACATCGTTGTAGGTGAACAGGACCTTGACCCGCTTGTCCGGCTTCAGGCTGACATTGACCAGAGGATCCAGCTTGCCGTGGATCTGCTGGAGCTCCTCGTAGCGTGCCGGCCGCTCGTCCTCCGGCTTATCCATATAGTATCTGACGAAGGCCCGCTCGGAGTCCACGCGTTCATCGTTGCTGATCTTGCCGCCCCCATTTAGCATCTCAACATTAGGCAGTCGGGCTATCAGAAGCTGCCTGCGCTCGTGCTCCGTGCACTCCAGACTCTCCCACAACGGCCAGTGTTTTACCCGCAGATTGCGGAGCTGCCCAAACTTGGCCAGCTGATCAATGGCCGTCCAGCTGTCGAGCTGCGCGGAACTGAGGTTCAACAGCCTCAGACTGGGGAAATACCTATGGGTGTCGCTGTTCTCCTCGGCCTGCAGCGATCGTATGGGACAGTCGGCGAGGACCAGGGCCTCCAGATTGGGAAACAACCGGCCCAGTCGACATATCTCCTGCCAGTGTTCGACGGGATTGCCAGTGAAATGCAGGGTCTTTAAAGCGGGATGGGCTTTGGTGATGCGCAACTCCGTTTCCTCAGGCGTTTCCGTTTCCTGCAGGCGCTGTTCCGCTTCCTCGGCATCTATCAAGACCTGCTTGTAGTTGTTCAGGCTGAGATGCAGTTCCTGCAGAACGGGGAGATTCCTCAGCAGCGAGTCCACGCAGGCCCAGTCCAGATAGGTGCCGTTCAGCACCAGGCTCTTCAGATTAATCGTTGGCGCCGTGGGCAGCGAGCTAATCGGACTGGCCAGCTGGTTCTTGCTCAGGTTGAGGAACTCGATGCGCGGCATGTGCTCCAGTATGCTGAAGACCTCCGACCAGTCGCTCAGCTTGTTCTGGGCCAGATCCAGTTCCCTGACCCGCTGGCACTTCTCCCGGATGCTCTCGAAGTCCCCGGCCGAGTCGATGTCGCAGTCGTTGAGCACCAGCAGGGCTGGGACACTGGTCAGGGGCGACAGACGCGGTATGAAGATGGAGAATTCCATGCGTCCGCCGCACTTGGTGACCGTAAAGTCATTGGGCAGGTCTCTCCGCTTGTGGAGTTCCGGTTCGTGGGCATTCTCGAACTCGCATTCCGCGAAGTACTTGCGCTCCAGCGCCTCCAAAAGGGAAGGCATGGCGAATGCACTTCTCTGTAGGATTGGGTATATAGTATATGGGTTCTAGTCCCCTATATATTCGGGGTTTTCCTATTGTGCCCCTTATTGATTTTCCACTTTTCCTCGCTCATAAACTTTTCCTGGCCCGTTCTGTGCTGGCTGTGATGCAATTTTTCAGTTTTGCGCAGTTGCAGTCTTCATTGATTTTAAACAAATTATTGCGCACGTTTCGCGTTCGTTGTTTGTTTTTTTCTGTTAATTATTGCGCACTAATTTGAGTCTTTTTTATTTCGACGTGCTTCGATGTATAAAAAAAAGATCGTGACAAAGAAACCCAAAGTGCGTTGGTCTGGGCTGGTTTTTTCGGATCTCTCTTCCAGCTTAGATGCGTTTCCCTTTGTTGTCGTTTTGTGTTGGTCGCTGCTTAACCTTTGTCGCAGTGGCCAGCTTTTCCGCTTTTCTGCTTGTTTGCTTTTCCGCAACGCTCTCCGTCCGCTCGCAGTGCCACCAAACGCTCAACTAACCACCGAGAACCGCGCCAACTCCTCAGCGGTCGGTGGTGCAGTGTATATGTATATATATATATGAATATATATGGGTGAGTCGTGTGCTCGTGTTCGGATTCGGATTCTGGCCTGTTTAGTGCTTTTTGTGTGTAGGTCGCTCGACATGCGCACAGGAGCGGTTCGGGCCCAAACAGGGGCGTTTCCAGCCGATACAGGCTCAGGGGTAATTTTCAGAAACCCAAATGCGATAAGTTCTCGTCTGATGTAATTCCGAAATCCAACCAGACAAGAACTTATCGTTTAATTTTGAAAAAGCCTACAAAATACTACAAAGTCTACGTACTTCTCCATGCCCTCCCTACTATGTTTAAAAAATGTAGTCATAAAAAATTATATAATTTATGTATTAAATTTTAATAGAATTCGAAGATTTCTAGAACCTCAGTCCTCTTTGTTTTTTTTTAATAAATAAGACAAAAATATATAATATGAAAACGATAAATAAGCAACGATATTACGCACAATGGGAATCGACACTTGCCACAACTTGGGTTTTGGAATATCAAACTTATATACATATATAACTTTTTATTTGAAAATTACTTTAAAGCCAGTAACCCATAATCAGTATCCAACGTTCCGAGAAAATTCTTTCAATAAATATTACAAATTAAACCGCTGTGGGGCAATTGAATTCGGAAAGATCAGTAATAAAATTTTAAAATCTTGTTCACTTTTAAAACAATATTTGACAAATACAGTTCTGTATCTAAACTAAACTCTATATATGAAATTCAATGATTTTAGTTAAAAAGCTTATACCATTAATTAATTATCGGTGGGCCCGATTTCGAATGCTACGCACGACAGCCACCCATGTAAATGATTTGACAGCGACCTTGCCGACAAAAATAAATACGCTGTTTCAATTACGAAATTTTGTTTAAACTAAGAAGGCAGAACAAATTTTTTGTTTGTCTTGCTCTAGCTTTTTTTTGGGGTTTCTGGCGCAAGCAAGAGCATAAATAGAATGCAGAGCAGGGCGAAGAAATATTAAAAATAAATAAATACATTTACAATGACCTTGTCGTGTGCACTTGACAGGCGGCCCTAGAAAATATAGAAAATAAATGGGAATTCTGGCGAATGTCTAATTGGGCGCCTTGGCCGCCCCAACGCCCCCGTGGAAAGTGAGTGCGCTTCTGGCGGGCCGTGAGGAAAACCAGTTATAAAGTCAATGGTCATGCCACAGTGTGTACTCATTACGAGTGACAGGTGGCCAATTGTGATGCCGAGTGACAGGTGGCAATTGCAAATAGCATGGGACAGTGCAAACAAATAAATTAAATAAATTGATTTAAATTTGGTGCGACCTTGCAGCTCATAAAATGCCGTTTCATTGGGGGTGGTGGTTCCATGTCAAAGGGTTTCTACTTTAGAGCTTAAAAGGTGCGCAATAGATTCGCGAGAGTTTTGAAAGAGGGGGAGTTGGGGTAGAGAGGGAGAGTCAAAGAGCATAAATTTACAACACACAAAGCTGTTTTACTCTCTCTCTCTATCGTACAGCTGGGGCCCCATTGTCCCACGAAAACAAACAGCGGGGGAGAGAGGCAATCACCACTCACATGTTTGTTTGCATTACGGTGCTTTTGGCAGACAACAAAAAATTACGCAGCATTTGTGCTGGAGCTTTGACAGCCACCAGCTGATTTTGTTTGGGCAGGAAAGCTCCCACCACACCACCTCAGGCCCCCAATTTACACCCCAAAAAGCTTTCGTGCCATGTGCAACACCAATCAACAAACAAAGAGCAAACAGATGGCAGCACTGTGTCCGCTCTTTTGTGCTTTTCCTTTGTCATTGGCGGCGTTATGGTTAGAGTTGTTGTAACGCCATCACCATATCGAAGGTTTCGCTATACAGTGCGACCTCAATAGCTAAAACCACCAAGCTAAGAAATGTTTTTTATGACGGATGCTTGCTAGAATCACACAATTTTAGCGATATTCATATTCTTCTGAAGTGTAATTAAAAAAATCTAACGGTCTAGAGGAAAGTATTCTATAGGTATTCGATAGATATTCCATAGACAGCTGTTTAAAAAAGTAGCATAACTCCCATATTTTTAAAAATTGAGGATTTCAGCGTGTTGATTTCAAAATAATTGCTACTGCATAAGCTTGGCATAGCAACAATTGGATACAACCCGTGTTTTAATACCCGTTACTCGTAGGATAACTTTTTAACTCAAATAAATGATAACACCTGTCTACATATGTAATTCTTTATTTTATGTTGGTCAAATATTATCTACAACAAAATAAAATAATTTTGATTGCGATAGTAAAATTGAGTTAACTGAAGTGGAAGCGATATATTTATTCATGCTTACTTTTAAAACTCAATTTCAAGTTTAAATTAAATTTAGTGAATTTCGCGTTACAGGTCTGTAGCTGTTTTTTTTTTGCGTCCTCGTTCCGCATGACTGAAGTCAATTTGCGAATATTTCACTGTGCATGCTGCTATAAATATGGTTGATAGATAAAAGTGTTTGTACACACATGCAAGCTAATATTCCGGATTGACAGCCAGTTGCAAATTGGTCAATGTCTGAGCAGGGTTCAATCAGGTTCCTGCAATATTTCGTTTTCCTTTCTTTGCCTATTTTTATTGTATCGCACGAATTTCAAGAACATGAGGAATAGGGAAGTCAAAATCGTTGACAGGTTGAAAAAATACCTGCATCATTCAGGGCTTGAATTTTAAACTACATTGGCTATGTTCAAACTGCAAATATTATTTAATCAAATAAAATGTTTTTTTGTAATATTATTTACATTCTGTGTGATTAAAGGCGCTTTGGCTTTAGGCAGCCAAATAAATAGGATGGACGACTATAAGGTAAAATCAGATAACCTAACTCTCACAGTGTGGCAGAGAGTAATAAATAAAGGACGAAATTTTATTATTTAAGTTTCATTTGTAATCAATTAATAAGAGATAATACATAAAATATACTGTTGAAATATATATAATTATTAAAGATTTCCCAAGAGCATAAAGAGCACACTTTGGCACCAAGAGGCATTAAAAGCTTCTGTGGGAAGTGAAGATTTGCTGACCAGTCCTTTACTTTTCACTTTATGGGGCTCTTAGCCCCAGAAGTCAATCACTTAAGTAGGCCTTAACCTGTGCCATATAGCCAAGATGGGGACTCGTGTGTGTTTGCATCTATCAAGTCATCAATTATGTCGACGACCCACATCGCTCATTAGCTATATGCTACATGCGTTTTTGTATACGTAGCCAACCCATCGCCTTTGCGTCTATATTTATCCAAAATCGTTGGGACTTTTGCGCTTAGACTTCTTGGCATTTTCACTCTGTGCGATAATAGTTCAAAACATATAATTTTCTGTTATGGTTTGCCGGCCAAAGAAGAGCGGCAAATAAGTCATTTGTCAATAGAATTTTCATTTCACTTGACTTTTCCCAAGAGGCCATAATTCAGTCCAGTCCTCTGGGCCACAGGTCATTTTGTCCGTCAATATCATTTATCACATATATCATGCATCATGTATATTAGCTAAATTTATTATTTGCTGATCTATATGCGCATTGATTTGCCTTTATTGGGGCCTTTTCATGAAGATGGATGCGTTTGGCGGTAATTAGGAATTTCTGTTGCTTTGCAGCGATATAAATATTGCTTTAATGGCCACAAAAACGCTGGCTTTTGTTTACACGTGGGATCGGTAGAAAGGCCTGGTATAATCCAGCTCATTGAATTTTCAAATCGATTGCGTCAATTAATGCAGAAACTAGACGAGTTGTTGTTGGTCGGTCGTAAAGTTTCTAAAAATTATGCTGGTGTCTGCGACGTTTAACGACTTTAAAGCGAATGGCACACAACCTCTGAAATGGCAGCGTAAACAATGATATGAAACGGCACAATTTTCCCTTGGCAGCATCTTTATTTTTCATCTCCTTTGTCTCATTTAGAGTCTAGACTGAATTTTGAATTATTGCACGACACCCAGAGTCAACAGCATCCACTCTCTGGGTCGGAGTAGATGTGTCTGGTCTGCGGCTAACCTTGCGTATGAGTAATTTCATTATGATTAGCCGCCTTGTGCTGCATTTCAAATGAGGTCTGCGGGACCATTTAACGGCTGTGATATATGAACAGTTGGGGTACAATAATCACACTGTAAAAACGGCGTTTATTACTTTATTTTAATTTTAAAAAAATATTCAAATTAATATTGTCAATGTGTAAATTCTACAAATATGATTGACATCATTAACCTAAAATAAGTTTTGTATTAAAAAATGCTCTGACTACACTATATTTAAATATAGTTACAAATACTAATTTATTTTTTATTTTTTATTTAAAATATTTAAAATAGGCTTACTAAATTTTCAACATAATCAATCTGGTATAACAATCACTGTAATCAGATAAACAAACTCTTATACTACAAATCTATATAGATATTATTTTGATCTCTGCTTTATGTGTAATATATGGTGAGTACCATACGTTGACATATTTCTCAGATGGTAATTCTTGGCTCGTAAAATCTGTTAGCGAAAAGCGAATCGAATGATATAAAAACTACGTTCTCTCGATAAGGGCAAACCAATTTTTTTTTTAAATTATGGGGTGTTGCATTTGTTGAACCGCCAGCGTTGTTGACAAGTCAATTTTCACTTGTATACTTTCGATAAGCAATTTTTAATTCCATTTTATCGTTGTGGCTGTTATGCTCTGCCCCGCCACGCTTCGACTAATTTGGTTTGGACCCCGAGAGTTGGGTTTCGGGGGGAGAGGGGAGGGCAATGGATCGGGGGTGCCTGTCAACTAGCAGCGTTAATTTAATATGCGACATTTGCACTTTTCGGTCAGTCCCCGATCCCACACCTCACAGCCCCCCGGACTTGGGTTCATCGGTTACGCTATCGCCGGCGGTGTCATGTTCTGGGAACTGGGGGGCTGAGGAGGTGGTCCGTGGGAGGTGTCTTTGCGGTCTGACCCTCCAGCGGCAGTAGCAGATTGTGCTGGCAGCGAAAAGTTCAATTTAAGCAATGCACTTTGTGCACTTTCGCTGGTCTACCAGCCGGGGAAATGGAAATGGTGGCTCTTGCCTGGGAAAAGGGGGGAAAGCCAGTCTGGTATATTGCTCATCGTTTGTCATCATGACGATGATGGTTGCCATAGTTGAGCATAACGCATTTTTATGAAATTCAAGCAC